GGTAGCTCTGAGAACTTATACAATGGAGAAGTACAGAAAACAGCATCTTGGTTTGTTTGAACAAACCTTAGGGTTATTTGACTCTTTGAGACATGATCATGGATCACTTTAGTGAAAATAGAAAGTTTTAGAAGGAGTAGAGGGAACCTGACTCCCCTCATAACCCATGATAAGGTGAGTTAGACTGAGATGACCTCCCATGACCCCATTCTCAGTGAGCTCTTAGCTGTTGATCTTAAAACCTGCTGAATCTAGATTACAGTAAGAAAGGAGCCAGACTTCTCCAGCAAAATGGCTACCTTTTTAAAAGGTAGCTTGAGAAAGCAGAGTAGTGTAAATGAAGGATGAAGGATAAATTACCCAACAGGCTTTACATAAAGGCTGATGCCAATGATTGTTGGGGGTGGATTGCAAGTGTTAGCTTAGTGGCAGATGCTCCAAACCATTGCCAAAGTTATGTGTGCAAATTTCTCCCGAATTTTTCTGGCAGGACTTTTGTGCTCCCTTCTTATCTGTTAACTGTGTTTGGTAAGTGTTTGAACAGAGCTTAGCCCCAGGACAGTCACCTGGTTGAGCATTGCTCTAATGTCGAGGAACACAATGAAAATGTCGACTTGGAGGGCCAGCACCTCATTGCAATTGTGCCTCTTATGCTTTGTCTGAAGTAGGACAATAATAAAAAGTCCTGGAGGCTCCAGGGTTTGCTTTAGATGGTAGAAAATAATGCATTTTTTCTCACCTTCTGCTTCTACCAGCAGGTGTTGAAATAAAGAGACCTATGGTAAGGAAACTTAAGCATTTTTCCCTAGGTGTCTGCCTTTCTAAAAGTGAGTATACCCAGCTCTTATGGCACAATCTGGATCACAGCTCCTTGGGAGGATGAAGCAGAAAGAGCAAATTCCAGGCTTGCCTGGGTAGGGGATCTGTCTCAGTGACAGAAGGTATTCCTAGCATGTTCCAGTCCCTATGATCAATCCCCAATGATGATCCATCAACAGTTAGGATATATACATGACTAATAAATTTAGGAAGAGCCTTGGATAATCCAGAAATAGAAGTTTCAAACCATAATCTAGGACGAAAAGGGTTGAGTCATAGAGATTAGAGGAAAGGAGAAACAGAAGAGAAAGACTGTAGGGAAGAACCAGATCCCTGTTAATACCACTAGGCTGCCATATGATGAGGGTGTGAAATTTCCCATGTCTGGGGATGAAGAAGGAAATTTAGGGAAAGTAATAGCTTATATTGTACTCACTCAATGGGGATGTCTGGATTTGTGCCCCCTGATATTTCTTAAATCAGCATTCTAAACATTCTCATAATGGTGTACTTCAGAAAATGGAAACAAAGATGGAAATTAAGAGATCTTTAAAAGGGTATCAGAAGTTTGAGGTAAGGTATTGGAACTCCCTGATGTATATGTAACAAGGATTTGAGTTCATGTGTGTAAAGAAAGGATGATAAGGCAGGAGGCAGAAGTCTAGAACATCAAATGGAACCAGCTCTTAACCATCAAGGAAGTTGGAAGTGACTGTTATCTCTTAGCCTTGAACTTCCCTCTTTGCTTTGCTTTATAGACAACATCACCAACTCATTTCTTAGACAGTACAGGGGATAAGAGGTGTCCTACAAAAGCTGAACTCTCCCGCAATACATGCCTGCAAGAGTGCTCAGGTGCTTGATCTTGACAAGTGTGGCTCAAAAGAAGATTCTACTTCATTTACGGTTATGTGGTTTAAGTAAAAGGAAAACAATTGAGTTGTAAATAAATTCTAAAAAATATTTGAAAGCCCAACCTACAAAGCAGGAAGGAGAAAACTAGAGAATATGAGGAAACATTGTATTTCCCTTTGTGCCAAGGATGGACTCAACCCAGAACATACCCATTAAGTAGGGTCATGATGTGAGAATGAGGATAATTACATATACTGTGACCTACAAAGTTTCCCATGGAGGAAGGTCTTGAGGGAAAATGGAGAGTAAGATCCTAAGTACTGGAGACAACTGTCCCTTCTGCTGACATAGGGCCCATAGTATAGATAATAAACTGAATATTTGGAATGAGCACTCTTTCTCTTGTCGATCTACATGTCTTCTGCACACACCAAGGGACTTTTACTAGAAGGTAGAGCACTGAACCTCTGGCTAGGCAGGGTATGTGGGTACTAAAACTTAGGGATCCAGCAGAACCACATTTGGTTCCATCTAGTATTGGATCATTTTACTGAATAATGGGGAGGTTAATAGCATCTCTTCCAAAGGGCCTTTGGCAGGCTAAAGTAAGTGACCTCATATATAAAAAAAAAAAAGAAAAGAAATGCTTTGAAGGATATATGGCTCATGCACAGCTCCTCCCTGCTTTAGTTATTAATATTGTGGTACTTAAGAGAACTATTGGAACATAAGCAAGTCGCAGAAAAGAATTGATTATCTGTACATCATTTGTGATGGAAAAAGAGAGACCATGGAAAAAATACATTGCTTGATAAACAGAAGGTATAGTGCAGGGGGAGGGCGGCGCTGGGGTGGTCAGTTCCAAATTACAGGGATAGATCAAAATATCAAATTTCAGATGTGGATCAAACTATTAAAGTCCCCCTTCTTGCACACACAGACAAAAAATATTATTATTTTTGAGACATCTCACTATGTATTTCTGGATGACTGACTTGAAGCTCTCAATGACTAGCCTCCAACTCAGAGAGATGCACCTGTCTCTGCTTTCTGAGTTTTGGATACAATACTTTTAAGGTAAGCTGGAATGCTCTTCAGAATCATAGTTAGTGTCAAGTTAGTGTCTCTCTCCAATGCACCAACCCAAGGCAACATTCTTTCTGGACAGTTTCTCATATACAGAGAAAAGACATCCCAAGGTGCACACTAGAAATCTGAGAGACTTGTTCTATCATCTGTGACCCAAGAGACCCTTAGCATCAGACCCATTCTTGTCTTCTGTCCGGCTCCAGCTTCTTCAACTCCCTAGAGAGCTGTTGTGTACTGATCTCTGCTCTCCATACGTCCTACTTCTAATCCTCATAGCTGTAACTGTGACCTGAAAGAGAAATAGTGACTCTACAGATGCCTTCAATAGTGAGTTCAAATGAAACCTTAGCCAGGTACTGGTGAGCTCCTAGGAAGAGAGAAATTTAGTCACAGAGAAGAAAATAGATACCAAGAACAGGCTCAAACAACAAAGTGATGTACATGCAAGCTAAACATTGCCAAAGATTCCCAATATTCCTGAAGCCCTAAAAACAGGCAAGGACATACCAGGAGCTTCCAAACCTCTTGATTTCATATATTGGACTTCTAGAACTCTGAGGAATACCGATCTGCTGTTTTAAGCTCCCAGATGTGTGGAAACTTGATACATCATCTTCATCTCTTGAATGCCAGCAATTAGTACTGGTCCCATTCTATGTGCCTATATCTGATTTGTCATGGCCCCTTGACTCACTAAGTAGCTCTTTCTTAGAATCTTTGGGAAGGGATAGGGAAGAGGCATCAGTCTGTCCTAACTTGAGCCAAGTGGACTTATCCCAGAGGGAAGAACAGGTAGAAGTTCTCTTAGAATGATATTGTGGGAGTATGATTTCTGATTCTCTTTTCCTTCTAGTTGTGATTACCTGGCATATGCTTGAACATTTAACAAAAGCCCAACCATCATTTAGTTACCTTTGCAACTTTGCTGATGTCTCTTCTGAAAATATCAAGATACTTTTGCTACTCCCCCAGAAACAGAGAAAGTAAATTAATTTCATTAAAAATTTCCAACTTGTTCCTCATGTAATGATGGCAAGAAAACTGTGACTCTGAAGGCAAAACTGATAGAAAATTCATTGCTGTGATAGGAAATTCATATAAATATATTTTTATCAGATTGTAAGTCTGGTACCTTTACATAGCAGGTTCTTTAAATAAAATAGAGAAATTGAAACTATGCAGAAAAAGTCCATTATTTTCTTTCACTTCAATTTTCATTGTTCCTCTATGTGTATTTTAGGATGTGTTGGGGTCCTTATAAGATAAGGACATATATTAATAAAAGTATGGGGTGTTTCCTACTTGATGATTCTAGAGAAGTGTCAAGAGAATCTGAGGAGAGATATTAGAAACCAGAGAGGAAAAAATGAATAGCTTTAAAATAACAAAAAGGACAAAAATATTCAGAAAAAAAATGGAAAACCTCTAAAACTACAGAGGCTTCAATCCTGATTTGAGGCACCAGATTCAAACTCCAGGGAAAATAAGCCCAGCTTAGGAAATCCCACTGCAATGGATGTGAGTCAAGCCAATGCTGAATTTCAGCTGTCCCTTAGATATTATCACTTGGAAGAAGCATATTAATTTAACAAGAGATTTCTGGAAGGAGCAGGAAGTGTAGAATGAAGCCTGCATCAGGTGCACATGCAGGCTGAAGTGTCTTAGAGTGGCAATGTCAGGCTTCTTGTCATTGTCCTCTCAGTTGAGACCATATGGAAAGAAGAAGCCACGGCCAGCTAGGAGACACACTGTCAGTTCCTTATGGAGTTCCTTTGCTGGAGAAGCCTGAGGGTCCACTGACAAGTACTAGGCCTTACAGGAGTCCCTTCCCAGTGCTTACTCCACCCTCCCTCCTCGTGAAGTCTACAGAGCAGCAAGAACAGCCAGCTTCTCTGGAACTTTCCAAAGTAATAAAGGAGGATTCGTTCTTTGGGTGAGAGAGTCCTCACGGGTCAGTGACTGAGTATACCCACTGAGGGCTACATCTCAGTTCTGGTGCATGCTCACACTCGCCTCTTATCAGGACAGGATAAGAGGATTTTACTTTTATTATCAGTTTGGCTTGATAATTACGAATTATTATTGATTAACATTATTGCTGAATCCTCACTGTCCCCATGCCAAGCAGCTGTCTCTCTGCCCCTACCTTCCAGGAAGGGCAAACAAAGTACAAGGTCAGTGCCTCAGATTAATTTGCCACTGCAGGTGCTCCCTACAGACACTCCTGCTGGACTGAGGACCCGCCATGTCTCTGCTGGCTACTGTACTGCTGCTCTGGGGTGAGATGTCCTGAGATCTAGAACTTCTGGGGCAGGTTTGGTATGAATGGAGACTCACACAATGTTTCTACAGGTTTCAGTCTGGGCCCAGGAAATGCTCTAATGCTTGGTAAGTTCAGCAATAAAACCTAGGCACCATGGCCTATCAGTTATGGGGAACCCCATTTTTCTAATAGCTGCACGCTGATCCTGGATCCTTTGCCTTCCAGATTCTGGCAGTGAACCTGAACTATGGGCAGAGCCTCAGTCCCTGCTGGAACCCTGGGCAAACCTGACGCTGGTCTGTGCAGTTGATTTGCCTACTAAGGTCTTCGAGCTGATCCAGAATGGGTGGTTCCTGAGTCAAGTCCGACTTGAGACACAGATGCTGTCATACCGCTTTTCCCTGGGGGCCATTACAGGTAACAACAGTGGCATCTACCGCTGCCGATGTGGCGTGGAACCCCCTGTTGACAGTCAACTGCCAGCGCTGAGCAAGTGGACAATGCTAAGCAATGCTGTGGAGGTGACAGGGAAAGGTAAGCAGGGTGATAATGGAGTCAGGAGGTGGTGATGGGAAGTAGATGGAGAAGCTTCCATCCACGTGACCTGTTATTCCTTAGCCTCAGTTCAATCCTCTGTCAAGTGGAGACGTTTATTCAGTCCCAGGAGGCTTGTGAATAGTGAGTTCCATAGAGTTCTTGGGACCCAACTAGCACAGAGTAGTACTCTGCACCTTTTTCCTTGCTCTACCCTCCCCCATTCCTGCTCCTTACTGTCCCTGATTCCTTTCTATTTTCTGAATCAGGAGTCCATACTCTCAGAGTCTCCTGCAAACAGACTGAAGTACTCACCAATGCCCCCTCCCCCATCCACAGAGCCCTTGCCTCCGCCCTCAGCTCATGCCGATCCAGTCTCCTGGATCACACCTGGTGGCCTGCCTGTCTATGTGATGTGCCGGGTTGCAATGCGGGGTGTAACGTACCTGCTGAGGCAGGAAGGAGTGGATGGGTTCCAGAAACCTGACGTCCAGCACAAGGGAACAGCTGGCTTTCTGATCTACAAGCCTGGCAACTACAGCTGCAGCTACCTAACCCACGCAGCAGGTGAACCCTCTGAGCCCAGTGCTATCGTGACCGTCAAGATGCGTGGTGAGTGTTAAACCCCAATACTGAAAAGCTTGCTGTAAAACCTGACACATAGTGTCCAAAGAGAAGCCAGTTGCTCCTGATCTGTCACTGAAGGTCAGAGGTTTGGGGACTGGACAGAGGGTAGTTCTCAGTGGGGCCCTACAAAGCAGAGGGTCCTGAACTCTTCACTCAATGCTCTTCCCTCTCTTTCAGCCACACAGGCTCCACCCATTCTGTGTTTAATGGGAAATTACCTAATGATCTACCCCGAGAAGACACATGAGACCCTTGCCTGCAAAGCTCCTCGGAACGCAGCTGAATTCCAACTCAGGCAAGGGGGGAAGGTGCTGAATATTCATGGGTTCAGTCTCACCAGAGATGCTACCGTGTATTATGTGAACTTGAAGAGACTGGATAACCAAGCTCCTTTTACCTGCCGCTACCGTATGCATAAATACATGCACGTTTGGTCGGAGGACAGCAAGCCCATAGAGCTAATGTGGAGTGATGGTGAGCCTCCTAACAGGGTGAGCTCTTGTTGACAGGCAAAGATGGTGGTCTGAAGTGAACAGAATGGGGATCCCAAAACAGAACCTCCACTTAGCCTCCGTGTCCCAAGCTTTAAGTAGGACAATTAATACAGCAGCCTTGAACCCTGGAAAGAATTGGGTCACCAAAAAAGTCTAGCCCAGACTTCAGTGGTCCTCCACATCTCACTGTATCCTAGCAGGGATGAGGTGGGCTTGATGGCGCCAACAGATTGGCAGGACTGGGATGTGGAGGGGATGGCACAGAATTAAGCAATGTTGTCTTTTGGTTCCCTTCAGAAGCAGGCAAAAGAGGGAGTAGGGAGGTCACTTTAAGCAAAGTGTTTAGCTGGAGCACATGCTGGGCCGTGTCTTCAGGCTGGGCCAATGTGTTTGATGCTTCACAGGGACGCTACCAGCTCCGGTACTTACTGCAGAGCCATCGCGTCGGAACCTTCAGCCTGGTTCAGTGGTGCAGCTTCGATGTACTGCACCCAAGACTGGACTGCGCTTTGGCCTGCAACGCCAGGGCAAACCGGATTTAGTTGTGGTGCAAATGCTGGATTCGTCTGGGACCGAAGCTGTCTTCGAGCTGCGCAATATCTCAACAATAGACTCTGGCAACTATAGTTGTATCTACATGGAACAGGCACCGCCCTTCTCGGGATCTGCTTCCAGTGAGCCCTTAGAGCTGCAGGTGAACGGTGAGCTGAAAGTGGCCACGAGGTTGGGAGGAGCAGAGGGTTACTCACTTAGAAACCAGTGTGCCTGAGCTGTGAGGAGCCAATCTTTCCTTTCCTGGTTATACCTTAATGAAGTGTTGGGCCTTGAGAACCTTGAAGAGGCCTCCTCCAAGTGTGAAACATGGTAATCTTGTTTGTTTCCCATTCTCTGAGCTGGAAGGCAGCTGGTCCAATGATGTTCAATAGGTATTAGGATCCTAGAGGTTCTTGTGTGTGTTCAAATGCACATTCCCAGGTCTCAGTTTCCCCGTGATGCATGTATCTCAGAGCTGCTCATACCATTGACTACCTTTGAGTTAATATATAATTTTACAAAACTATAGAGATCCTGGGGATTATTGGATCAAAAGTCATCCAGAAAGGGACCACGCAAAGGTTTCTGCCCACTTTAGGTTCTGACCTCAGACTTTTGAACTGTGCTTCTGCCAGAAGTACTTTTCTGAAAGGACTCTTCACAGCTTCAGACCTTCGGGTACTCTATGAAACACTCCATGGGACAAATTAAGGCCTGAGAGATCCCTTAACCCTTGTCACTTTGGGTGTTAAATACCTAGATGAGATATAGATGGTACCCCACCAGCACTTATGACAAAATGCAGGAGAGGGGGTTGTGTAACTCAGAGTGATGGCATAAAAGAAGTATCTAGAGCAGATCCAACATAGGGATTCCTCTGGCAGGAGATGCTACAACCTCATTGCCATCATCCCTCACAGGGCCACCACCTAAGCCAAGGCTGGAAGCTCTATGGAAAGGCACTGTGCGTCTGGGCCATGAGGCCGTCTTTCAGTGCCATTGCCAGGTGCCCGGAGTCATCGTGGAGCTGGTACGTGAGGGCTTTAAAACATCCTTCTGGACGGCCTCAACAAGAAGCACTTCAGCTTCTCTGAAGCTGCCCTTCGTCGGACCCCAACATGTAGGCAATTACAGCTGCCGCTGTACTGCCCAGTCGCCCTTCACATTTCAATCAGGGATCAGCGATCCTGTGGAGCTTATGGTAGCTTAGGCTCTCCTGAGCTGTGTTTAGGTTTTGGTTCTTCATATTTCCAGAGCTGTACACTGGCTAATTGCTTCACCAAGGCCTGTGTGGAAAGGCCCTGTGGTAATTTGCTGAGTCAATGAATCCACTTCTTTGTCTAGGTAGCTAAAGTAGCTGCAGACACAGGAAAGTGTCCTTGGAAAGGGTTGAAGACAGGTATAATACCCATTCTTCTTAATGTAAGATGACTTCATTTTCTCTGGACTTAATAAAGGTCAAGGAAAAATTTGTTAAAGCATGCCTTTCATTTGTGGGTATAAGGCATCTGCAGATGCGGGAGGATGTTATTCCAGGCCTGGGATCCTGTGTCTGTAAAGAGGAGAGGCTCAGGGTTAGATCCTAAGGACATAATGGTAAAAGCCTGGTCTTTTCCCACATCTCTTAAGATCTTCCCTTTCCAACCTCTGGCTGGCTGGCTCATAGCTCCCAGGCATTTCGTCCCTTTCCAGCAAGTGTGGATATGCAGCTTGAAGCTCTAACCAAGCCTCTCTTAGCTTGGGAGATTCTGTCCCTACCCTAGCAGTAAGTTAGAAAATTCTACATTAAGTGTTCTGGTTGTATTTTTATATTTCACAAATATAGTCTGATGGATGGCATCAGAGTGTGTCTAAATCAATTCATTTTCTGAAGTAACTCAACTGGAAAAAAATCAAAACAGCGAAACATCTTCAGAGCTGAACCAGAAGTCTGTTCCCTTCAGGCCTCAGGAGAGCCTGAGACTGAGGTCTGAAGAGTTGATCCCTGAGGCAGAACCAGGACCTTCAGCTCAAAACAACCCTGCCTCTTTGTTGTGTACCCCACCAGTCCCCTCAATGCTTCTGGTCCCCACAATAAACTCAGAAATACTCCATGTCTCCCTGTGACATCTTCAATGCCTTTGATCAGAGGACCTTTCCCTTTTTCACTTCTTACTTGGAGGTTAAAATACTCGCTCATGCTTTAAATGTGAAGGGTCATTTCATTTCATTTTATTTTTTTTTACCAGCAAATTCTAATTAGAAGTTCAGAATAACTGAGAAGTCAATTTGGTTAGTGGTGATCTCTAAGATGAACAATACATGGTCCCGATTCTTAAAGAATATACAGTCTAGGACAGGGCAAACAGGTAGTGAGAAAGCTCTTACTCCACAAACATCACAACCTCAGCTTATACCTAGACTCTATAATAAAATAAATAAATAAATAAATAAATAAATAAATAAGGAGGATGCAATTCATAAGTGGCATGCATCTTCAATCCCACTGTTCTTCAGTGAGATGGAGGGAAGAAAGGAGACTAGAACACCACCTAATTTGGAGGACAGAGTGACCAGAAGGAAGAGACATCATGTGTCAACTGGTAGGATGAGATAAGAAACTGAAAAGTCAACCTCTGATTTCCATAGACACAACCTTGCACTCACCCACACTCACATATACACATCTAATGATGAGTGAATACATAGAGTTTAGTTAAGTGCAGATGGGCTGCAGAGTAAGATACACTCATAGCCTAAGATGCATAGCAAGAATTCTAATGAGCTCTCAGGGCCTGTGCATTGACCTCCATTTTGAACACCTGAAAAACATAATAGATCACATAAGGCTCTTTAGAGTTCCTGACTCCTGACACAGCTTGAGATGTGAAAGAGAAACCAGAAATTCTAAGTGATAGCAACCATTTTGACCTCAGACCTTTGAGCTGTGCTTTTGCCAGAAGCAGTTTCCTAATAGGTCTCTTCACCTCTCTAGGAAGCCAGGGAAGGCCTGGAACAGGTCAAAGCCTGGGAAATTGATAGCCCTTGTGATGCTGGGGAGTTGCACACTTAGAGGAGTTACAAACATCATTAAATGGATACCCAAGGAGCAAGTCAACAGGGAGAGCTGCCTGACTCCTAGTGCGCACTGCAAAAGGAGCCAGAGTAAGCTCACCATACGGCCCTACAGGAAATGTTCCAAACTAAGTTCTATCCCTCACATACACCCAGGGATACCCCCACCATCAAAGCTCCAGGCTATGTGGACAAGTGAAGTGCCAGCTGTCTATGATGTTGTTCTACGCTGTCAGAGTGGCTTACCTGGGGTCACCATGGAGCTGCTGTGTAATGGCAAATTTGTGCCCTAAAGGATGCTCTGAGTACTGAGCACCTACAGTGACCTGGGGCTGCATTTTGTGGGTCTCCAACATATATGCAACTACACTTGCCGTTATACCTCCTGGCTGCCACTCAGAGCTCAGCAACTCCTCCTAGTGGAGAATATGGCTTCCAGAGCAGTGGTTGGGTTTTGCCTCTTGATCTTTACTGGGCTATGCACTTGATTAATTGTGCAATCAAGCCTCCATCTTGAACACCTTAAAAATGTCATAATAGGTCACAAAAGGCTCTTAGGCATTGTTGAGTCCTGACATAGCCATAGATGTGAAGGAGAAAACAGGAATTCTAGAAGATAGCACCCATTTCACCTAATATCATTATTCCCAATCTAGAGATGAGTAAACACTAAACACATCTCCCAAAATGCAGAGTTAACAAACAGCAGAGCTGTTTTTGATCCCAATACATACCAGCCCAAGGCACATCTCTTAAAATCATTAACTCATCCAGCCTTTAATTTGCCCCGTGAACCCAGCCACAGAGGATCCCAGAGATGCCTTTTTGTTTGTGTCTTGAGATAGTATCTCACAACATACCCCTAGCTAGCTTTGAATGCCTTACCTGCCTAATCCTTCTGCCTCAGCATCTAAATCACTGAGATTATAGTCGTGTGCCACTGTACGTAGTGCTACTGTGAAGATGTAAAAATCAGAAGAAACAGAGAGAGGCAGCTTTGGGCTGTTATTCACAGGGCCAAACCGTAAGCACAGAAAAGGTTTCCAGAGGAAGCAGGGCTTAGTGTGAGGCTGGAACACAGACTGATGGGACAACCTTATCATAAAGCAGGTCTGCCATGGTGTCCCCAGAGAGCATGGGTGTGGTATGTGATGAACATCCATGATCTGAAAGTGGGACAAACTTGTGGCTCTTCACTTTTCTTCGGTACAATGAGGACAAGCTTATCTGCTTTATGGCACTCTGATAAGGGTGACATTAAGTAACACCTGGGAGAGAACGTATCTTGTTTCCTGGGACACCACATGAGCTAAATTCTCATGAACTTCTTCTATGTCTTGCAACAATTTCCCATTGTGCTAAGGAGGTGTGCCTGGTGATATTCATTTCCTCTGCCCGAGGGTGAGCAGGGGTCTGAGACCCTTCCCCATATGGTTGGAGAGATCCTGGCAACAACACTACCAGGAAGTGGCTTGGGAGGGACCACCAGGGCACTGATCAGAGCTTAGTAGAGGCAAAATTGGAAGAATAGGGGATCATCTTTAGGAGCCAGCAAAGGACAAAGGTACCACCCATCCCCTGAAAGAAAGAACAGTTAAATTGTTTCATTCATAATACTTAGCATAGTCCCAGTGCTTGCTCAAGCTAATTAATTCTGTTCCAAATCCTGGAAAACAGCTAACTAGGTGTGTCAGAGAAGAGCTCTATTTCTGAACTAGGGCTGAGGAGAAACTTGCCCTCCACAGTGTTTGATGAAGAGAAAAGTGTCATTACTGCTTCCTAGAGCCAAGTTACCCTGGGTGAGAAGAGGCCAGTAAGCTCTGGTGAAGATTCAACCCTTAATCAAGTCTGTCTTTACATATATGTACAGTTACCCAAGGTCATAACAACTCAAGAAGTTACACTCTGTCATTTTTATCCTAACAAGTGCCCCCAGAGATGGAACCAGGAAGTCACCTGGTGTGCTAAGCTACTGTGATGGCAGGAATCGGTCTTATCTCTTTCCCTGAAACTTAGGGTCAAGCCCTTGTGCCAAGACATGATGTGCACTCAGCTACTCAACTCTAAGCCCTTTCACTCTGTGCATTTTGCAAAGTAAATTCTGGGATTGGTAATAAAACACACTATTTTATTACCTACATAACAGAGCATTGCCAATTACAAGAAATTAAAAGAAATGGACCAAGTCACAGAATAAAAGGAAAATACTCAGAGGAGGGGGAAAAACCCGATGTGTGAACATGGTTTCTGGAAAAAAACATGTTGAACAGTCTGGTCTTAGCAACCCCCAAACATAATTGTACTTTTGTTTGTACTACATAACTGGAATTTTGCTACTGAACGGTGTCTCCATTCCTAAGATCATCCAAAATATGTATTTTCCATTGTTCACCCCGATGGGTCGAGAACTGCAGGTTTAGAAAGATGCTAAGATTCATCCCCATCTGCGAAATTGTTGGCAAGTTTCCATTCTCTAGGCATGTCATGACCACTGCTGGCTTGAAATCAGAGCTGGTGTGATCAGAGGCAAGACATTATCAAAAGCTCACTTCATCTGCCCTAGTAGTATTCTGTTGTACCATAGAAGACAGTCATCAGCCCCGCACCAGAGACTCTGGCTATTATTCTCCTGTTCCCACTATACGGGCAGTGCTAGAGTTAGAGACAATTAGAGGGTGACGGTGCTGGGACTAAAGGGAAATTACAGCTCTTGCAAAGGGTCACCCATACCAACTTGGAGCTTTTCAATGACACAGCCCTTACTGAGTCAGTGATGTGCCTAGAGAACAGCTCACCGATGCTCCTTCTAATAACCCCATATACTCATTGGTTCAGGAGCTAGAACTGGAGGGAGACATGTCTGATGCCATCTGGTGTCCAATCTAAAAGAAATGGGCATTTCTGTGTATCTTCCAGGAGAATTCATGGAACCTTTGTTCTAATACAGATGAGATGTAAGGTTTCTTTACAATCGACTAAAGCAAAGCACATGCAGAATCTACCTGTAGTTCCCTAAGGAGCTGGGAGTTTCAAACCGAGAGTAACACGTGCCATTACAAAGGACTGGTGGCAATACACACACACACACACACACACACACACACACACATATATATATATGTATATATATATATATACATATATATATATATGTATATATATATATGAGACAAGGAAGGTCCCAAGAATGAATACAGATTAAAGAAGAGAGAGACCACAATTGCTGTGCAGGGTAGTGACAGAGCTGGCAACTTCTTCCAGGATCACCTCTCTCATGTGGAGATATTTCCATTGGTATAGATGGAAACCTTGGTATGTAACCCAGAGATATATGGGACATTAGCAGGCCTCATTCTGGGCAGGTTGGAAGGAAGATCTGGTACCTAGGTTTAGCCTCAGTGTGACCTGACTCTAGAATGCTCCATTTGCAAAACAATCTTAAAAGTTTTGGCCCTTGCTATAAAGTGGGTATGACATGGCAAG